TTAATTATCCTGAATTTTTTAAAGAAACCAAGTGTTCTTGGGATGGTCTAAACAGTTCTAAATTAAATGAAGACCAAATGGGAAAGTTATCTGGAAACTTTTGCGATGGAAAATTTGAGATCCCTTTTGAAAAGTAACACAAAGAATGAAGGACTCTAGTGTGATTTTTTTTTTCAGCCTTTGTAGAGAGCAAAGCACCATAATTCACTGATGAATCCCATACATTCGTCAGTCATTGTTAATTTTAAAAAGCTGTTCAATAAACAACACTTCAAATGCTCTTTTTTGTAAAAAAGCAAGCACTATACTCTAGCTTATTTTAAATATCTTCCCATAGTTCAAGAACAAATTAAACTCTCCTTAAAAAAATACAAAATTAACAGATCTGAAAGAAAGTGGCTCCCACTTTCTAAGCAAATTTAAGGCTAAAGAAATAGTTGATAAAGCTTCTGTCCCTCCTATTCCCTGTCCAATAGGAGAGAAGAAAGAACAAAAATAATCACTTCTAGGCAGTGAGCCCTATGGTTATATGCAACCTGCTTAACTCAGTTCTTTATATCCAGACCCAAGAAACACTTCCACATTGTAATGAATATCCCAAAACACATGCTTAACTGCTTCTGGAAACATCCTTAATTTTTGACACTTCCGGGGTTTCTTTGGGTTTTTTTAATCATTTATTTGCTCAAGACATGTAAAATATGAAAGGAAGCACGAAGTTAATCTTTACTTTGTCTCTTCTATACATTTAAGGTTCTTTTCAAAAAATTGTATCATGAACCAGGGCTCGGGGCCATAAAGTTACTAGCATGCAGGCTCATTATTGTTTGTATGTATGTGGTATTTATGTTTTCAAAGCATTTCGCCATCATTAACTTCTTGTCAGCTAAGCAGGATATTGGACTTGATGGAAAAATGATCTAATCCAGCGTGGAAAATTCTGTTCCTTAAAGCCACACCTGAAACAGGCAAAGTTCTCATTTCTTTGTGCCAGAACGTTCTCAGTATGGATAGCTCACAAAGTAGGTCCCTAAAATCTTTGCAGAGTGACGTCAGTGGGGGAATTTTGTCTCATGGGATGGGTTTTGTTGCTATTGTTATTTGGGGGATTTTTGTTTGCTACTGGCAGTGATTGCAGTGTTTTTGGTAAATTTGTTTTGTTGTGTGGGGATTGGGTAGGTTTTTCAGAAAGGGAAAAAAAAGTATGGTTAAGTTACATTGTCAAACTGGAAACTGGAGCCTGCCAACGTTCTGAGATAATTTAGCTGATGGTCTAGTGCTACCTCTGATACAGAATGAAACATTTTTAGGAGTGAGTGGGTGGAAAGATAAAGGACAGTTTCCTCAAAGAAAGGTCAATCAACCAAGCGGTCCCTTATAAGGAAAGTTTACATTCAAGTTTCGATGAAGAGAACAGCTCAGGTCTTTGCACAATCGCTAGTTTTGCATCCTGTCACTCACTCTCTTCTCAAGAACAGTTCAGAGCTGCTGGGCTGTTATGAGCATGACTTGATGCCTCTGAATTGACTGTGTTCCAAAACCTCATTATTGGAAAACTTTTCCATTTGATGCTAAATATAGGGTATTATATAAACACAATGTATTATAGGTCGAATCCTGTTACCACAAATGCTAAGAGGCTATCCAATTTGGAGTTAGGAAGGGAGATTGTATTAGAATTTTACAGTACGCATCAAATCTGATTACAATTATGTAAAACAAAACTCTTTTCCAAGCCCGAGTAATGGGTAACGTATTTCAGTTGTTGGTAGAAAATCTTTGAGTTCTTCAAAATGAGAGTTACCTTAAATGAAACATGAACCAGTTCTCAGTCTTTTTCATTCCATAGTGATCTTCTTCCTAAAGCCATAGAATGTGTTCCTGTTCTGCTCATTTAGAATTTGATCATATGTTACGGAGTGACATGCTCATATGATGTTTAAAGCGTAAGATTATCTAGCATTTTCTATGTGTTTCTATTTCTCCCTTCAACTTGATTATGACGCCTTGATTATGAGGGCAAATCTCCAGGGTTTACTTATGTGTGTATTTCATATTGCTAAGCCTAGAGAAAGTCCATAATAAAAGGGAGGGAGAAAGGCATGGAAGGAAGGAACAAGATGACGGTGTGGCAAATGGAGACAGAGTAGAGGATGCCCAGCTGGGAGGGCCTCATTGAGACATCAGGGGGTTTTATTTAATAAGGAAACCCCTCACTCAACACATGATTTAAAACAAAAGAAGGGAATAGATTCAGTCTAGCTTTCTACTTCCAAATAGGTGAGGTTTATAAACTTGTTAAGTCTCAAATGCATTTCCGCTGAACAGGAGTGTGTGTTCATCTTTTAAGCTTTAGAGTCAGGCTAAGACACATTCCATCAGAGCTCTTCGTGCAAAATGGATTTGTTTCATCCCCACCACACATGCAGAGAAGGAGGCCCCTGCTCTCCTTGCTGAGCTCTGCCAGAGCCCAGGGATCGTCCTTTAGCAGCTACGGGATCATCCGTGCTGTCTGCCTGCCACTGGCACTGGCTGTGAGCTCACTGGAAGGTGTCATAAAAACTAGGGTGATGGGAAGAGGGTATAGGTCAGTGGTAGAGTGTGTGCTTAGCATGCACAAGGTCCTGGATTCAATCCCCAGCACCTCCATTTAAATAAATAAATAATAAAAACCTAATTACTCCCCACCCCCAATAAATAAATAAAAATTTAAAAAAAAACTCAGGTGATGGTGGGATCTTGACACAAAACTTTCAGCAGCAGCACTTTGGTAATGTTTTGCATTGAAGTTCTTAAGCTCCTGCTTCTTCCAAATAACATTAGACCGATAGGTCTCTAGTTTTGCTCCTCTTCTGAAAATTCTAAGTTAAAATTTGTCAGTTAGGGGACCTTCTGTACTAAGGAATATTAACCTTTATTCTTCAAGAGAATCTTTGGAATCTCAGTCTGAGTAATATCAGATTCAGAATACAGAACCAAACCTTTCTTCCTGTTATGTTAACTGTCTGTCTCTTAGAGAACCTTGTCTTGGAAAAAGATCTCCATTCAATTCTTCAGCTCCCAGCTCCTCACGATCTCTATAATCTTTACTTTTTTCCATTTACTTCCTAAGAATTGCCCTATGGATAGGATTATTGTATAATTAATGCTCCAAACTAAGACACACTGCAATTTGTTTTGTTACAGATTTTTTTGGTAATTTTTAAAATTGAGATTTAATTCACACAACATAAAATTCACCATTTTAAATTGTACAATTCAGAGTTTTTTTTTAATATGTTTACTGTTGTACAACCATCCCTTCTATCTGGTTCCAAAACATTTTCATCTCCTCTAAAGGAAACCCCATATGCAGTAAGCAGTGACTCCTCAGTCCTTTTCTGCCCAGGCCCTAGAAACCACTAATCTACTTTTGGTCTCTATGAATTTGCCTATTTTAGACATTTCATACAGATAGAATCATATAATATTTGGACTTTTGTACCTGACTTCTTTTACTGAGCATACTTTCAAGGTTCATCTCTGTTGTAACATGGATCATTATTTCATTCCTTTTCATGGCTGAATGATATTCCATTGTATGGTTGTATGACATCTGTTTATCCATTCATCAGTTGATGGACATTTGGGTTGTTTCCACATTTCAGTTATGATGAATAATGCAGCTATGAGCATCCATGTGCAAGTTTTTGTGTAACTATCTCTTTCCATTTATCCTGAGTATATACCTAGAAATGGAATTACTGGGTCATTTGAGAATTCTTGTTTAGCTTTTTGAGGGATCAACACACTGTTTTCCACAGTGACCATTCTATATTCCCACCAGTCATTTATGAGGGTACTGATTTCTTCACATCCTCACCAACACTTTTTAATATCTTTTGCACTATAGCCAACCTCATGGGTGTGACATGGTATCTCACTGTGGTTTTCATTTGCATTTCCCTAATGATTAGTGATGTTGAGCATCTTTTCATGTGCTTATTGGCTATTTGTATATCTTCTTTGGAGAAAAGTCTACTCAAATCCTTTGCCCATTTTTAAATTGAGTTGTCTTTTTATTGTTGAATGGTGAAAGGCCTCTACCATGTAGTACCATATTACAGCTACTATACCGTTACCTGGTATAGCCATTACAAGTATTTTCTTCAGGATATATTGATAAGCAAGGGGAGAGAGCTATTAATACTTAGATAATACAGGCACAAACTGAGACCATTCCAGGCGAAACAGGACAGATGATCAACCCACATGTGGAAGTTCAACTTGATTCAGCAGGTTGAAGAATAAACATTGTGCTAATTTTAATGGGACAATTTATCTATCCAAATAATTAGACATAAATCATAAGAGTCAAACTCAGTACCCTTCCTGTACTACCCAGTATGCTAGATACTGTGAAAAGGAATCTAAAAAAAAATTTTAAATTCATAATCCTTTAAGCCACTGAAGGTCAAGATGAAAGAGCAGAAGAAACATACACATAAACAAATAACTAATAAAGTTAGGATTTAGGTGCTATGGTGGCCTAGAAGAAGAAGAAATTAGTGTTGGAGTACTAAGAGAAGTTTCAGCCTTGAAGGACAGGTAGCACTGAGGTCAAGAGAAATTTTACTGTAAAAAGCATGTGCGTTACAGAGGGATGTAGTGTATGTGTAAGACATGGGCTGTAGAGTCCGGAAGCGTAGAGTAACCACATATGCTTTTATGGTGAGAGAAAGAATTGAAAATAGGTATGTGTTTCACATAATAGTTCTGTTCTCCCCTTTCTAACTTTTTAAAAAATTACTATTATTGAAGTATAATTGATTTACAATGTTGTGTTAGTTTCTGGTATACAGCATGGTGGTTCAGTTACACATATGCATATATATACATTCTTTTTTTATATTCTTTTCAATTATAGATTTACAAGCTTTTGAATATAGTTCCCTGTGCTATGCAGCAGGACCTTGTTGTTTATCTATTCTGTATATAGCAGTTTGTATCTACTAATCCCCAAAAATATGGATGGCTTCACAAATTTGCATGTCATCCTTGCCCAAGGGCCATGCTAATCTTCTCTGGATCATTCCAGTTTTAGTATATGTGCTGCTACAGCGAGCACCTAACTTCTTATATGATCACCTGTAAGGAGAAAAGTCTCTGAAAATGAGAAGTGTATGCACTATGCTACAATCCTGCTTGGAATTCAATTAAAATGCGACTTTGGAAGAAACATAGCAGCCATTCAGAGCACACTGGCTTACTGTTGTGGCTACTGCCCCACGTTTCCTACTGCCCCAACTGGAAACTCACCCTTGGCTGGTACTTGCCTGCTAGCACTCAAGGCTCTTACGGCTACACGTGAACATATCCACTTTCTAAAAAGAAAGTAAACTCTGTGCAGGCAGGAGCTTTCTTACTGACTTGTCTGCATCTGCACCTCCATTCCATACCACTCCCCTGTGCTCTGCCTCCAGGTGACTGGCGGGCATGGATTCTGTCCTTAAGCTCTGACTCCTGCTAAGTTCAGTGGGTGGGTGGTGATCAGAGGGAGGGAGGAAAGTGAGATCAGGATACTGGGTTCGTTCCCTGGCTCCTCTCCTGCGAGGTCCTCTGCTCCTCACAACTATCTCTGCCTGGGTTCCTTTGCCCTCTCCCTCTCCTTGTCCCTTCAGAACCCAGGCATGGGGACAGTTGCATTGATGCTAGCCTTGGGTTCCTGCACAATCCCTCCTTACCCAAACCTTTGCAATTAATCCTTTTTGTAAATAAACTCCCCTTGGATTATCCTAATTTGAATGTACCATCTGTTTACTCTTGGGACCCTAACTGATACAGTCCCTGATAGTACCCAATACTTTAGCAGGTGTGTAACAAATATTTGTTAAATAATTAATAAGTGAATAAACGGGGAGCAGATGCTTCCATTTCATCTTGTTTCCCCTGACAATTACTTGGGCAGAGGTGAGGTGTTTGATAAAGGCCATGCCACTGATAAATTATCAGTTTGCACTTAATGTAGAAGTTATTTGAGAAATCCATTTTTAATTTCAAAATGCCAAGTGACATTGTATATAATTATCTGTAATAATGTAAAGGTGGAAGCAAGAGTTTTTTTGATATTTTTTTCTAAGTTATAGAAGTGACCTGTGTGTGTGTCTGTGTGTGAGAGAGAGAGAGACAGACAGACAGAGAGAGAGAGAGAGAGAGAGAGAGAGAGATACATTGTGTGAGTTTAATATCAAAGGGAAAAGAGGAGAAGGTGGTTTTTCTCTCATTTCAAAAACTTCTTATATTTTTCTTGCAATTTCTTAGCTGTTATTCTGATTTCTGTCTTGGCCAACTGTTACGCTGAATGCTTCTGATCACAGGGCAGGAAAAAAAAAAAATAACCCTGGGGTGTAGTGCACTAAATTTTAACTTTAGTTTTCTTACCTTTTTCAATTTTGTCTTCACTCTATTCACTCTGATTTTCTGTCCTGTTTTAATGTATGTGTGTGTGTATTTTCCATATGGCTCTGCTAAAGAAAGAGGAATTTCTTACCTTCAAGCATACTAATCCAAAGACATTCCTTTTAGATTTTCAGCTTTCCCACAGAAGCAAGATATTCATAGCTGCCTGCCCTACAAAGACCAATAAAACTTTCTTTTGCTTTCATAAATGATCCCTGGTCCTCTCATTTTCTTGAGGGCAAGAAGAAAGAAAAAATACAGCATTCATTTCCATTTTATCTCTTTGTAGCTGAAGAAAAAAATCTACTAGAAAGAACAAAAATGCCCATGCAGGTTCTCCTTAACAAGAAATTAGGTTAGAATGAATGAGCCTATGAAAGATTATCAAAGATGAGTAATACTGAAGTAATAGACCAAAGACCAAAGCAATGGTGACCGTCCCAGCAAACGCTGGGAAGAAAAAGGAAAGTGGAATTTAGATTCACGCTCAAGCAGGGATTAGAAGATTAAAAAAAAAAAAATTCAGTCTCTCAGAAAACATTTGCAGAACATCTTCTTGGTGGATTTGAAGTGAGTCACACTATAAAGCTCTTGGACGGTTATCTGACTGGGTGCGATGGGTGTGGCCACCATCATTTGACTGGACAGAATTCCTACGGCTTTCTAAATTGGGACCTTGCTACATGATCTTTTTAGAAATTTCCTTCAAATTATTGCCTAGACTTGTCATGGCTTGTCCCAGAGCAGTCAAACAACTCTCTTCAATATGCTTTTTGGCCCAGTAGAGCTGTTCTGAGCCTTGATGAGACTGACTGTGCCCCTAATCTGGGCTCAATCATGAGATGAAATGGCAGGGGAAGGCTGTAACCAGAACGTCCTGCTTCAGTGACAGTGTGTTAGGTTGTTTTCTTCAAATAAGTATGCCATTCTCAATTACAGTTTTTCTCAAAAAATAATTCTCAAAGATTGCCACAGGGGAAATTCAATCATAATTATCTTCATATTAATTTTCCTGTGGATTCTGTAAAATAGAGATGAATTGTCATCACTCTACTGCGTTTGAATTTCCACTATTTCCCTGATTTTAAGCCAGTTAAGCTCAATTTTTGATTTGGTCAATTGACTGAAAAAATCTCAGGAAGCCTAGCATTGCTTAGCAGCCTCAGACTTAGTTCAGATGACAGGACCATAATGAATGCTTTCTTGCCTTTTAGGCATAGTTTAAGGTGTACATCAACCCTTAAAGATTCCAGCGGGGGCGAAGTTCATATTAAATGTTGTATTTTCTTATCCTTTAACTACTTCTTACTCCTTCTTACATAGCTTGCAGAAAAAGAACTGTTTATTTCTGGAAAAAAAGTCAATAAAAGCGGACCCTCCCTTCAGATGGAAAAATTGAGTGAAATAGAGAAAAATAGTTCAGTTAATTAGAAAACTTCCTGAGGACTCTCTGGGGAAAGGCAGGGAGGGAAAAAAAAAACTGAGATTTCCAATAGATTTAGGGAAGAAAACAAAAGCAAAACCTCATCCCAAGCCATTATGTAATGATGAGCCAGAAAGGAGAACCATGAGAACTATAGTTCTACACTATACAGCAAAAGCTACAACCATAAGGATAACAAAGGAAACAACCAATGCTGAGAATGAGGGGTTCTCTGTGTGACTAAGAACACTAGGACGTTTTTGCACTCCTGCACTCTTCCACAGCCCTTGGAAGGCAGCGTAGGGGTTAATGTGACTATGAAGCTATCGGGGAACAAAGGAAATTTTAGGCTGATGAAAGGAACGGTTGATGGTTTGACTTTGGTGCATAACATCTTCTCAAGTCTACCGAGTGTACTGTCCTCAAATTGAAGAGCTGCTTTAGGAATGAGGAGCAGAAATAGTACTGTGGACGGGTGGAGACGGCTTGCTCTGAAGAGCTTTTTGTCTGGTGATTCTGTGACTAAAGATAATATTTGTTTATCTTGTATGTTTAACTTGTGTCTTGTAATCCAGAGAGCTGGGGGAAAAAATGTGGAATTACAAGTGAGTTAGTGAACAAACCCATAGTATAGGGTATAATTTCTAGGCATGGGAAGGGCAGGAAGAACAAAATCAGCAGTTATGATAGAATGTATTTTTTTCTGTGCTCTCTCCAATCTTTCCAGTAGGATAATTTTGCAATTAAAGTGCTGATTGCACAGCAGCATTTCATATAAAGTTATGTTGCATTACTCATGGAAGCTACTTGACTTGAAATACTTTCTTACTTAGAACTCTCAATTCTTGCATACTTAACTGATTTTTTAAAAATAATAAAATAAAGCAAAAAGGTCTTCCAGAGGCTCTCAGGGGCTAGAAAGCCCAAGGCTGCATGCAGTACACTGAGGAGGATTTAAAACTTTCATATCATCCAATCACCAAAGCATGATTAAAGAAGCTGTATGATGCACCAGATATTATAGGTGACCAGAGGAGTGTGGGGTCTTGGGGCAATACATCTAGGCTCTTTAAGGATAAAAGGCCTAGCAAAATTCCAGAAGGAAAATCTATGTTCTATCACCACCGCATATTCTCAGTGAAATCAGCTCCCCCTCCTTCTCTCATTCCAGGCTGGGCTCAATATTATTGAAGTAAAGCCAACAGCAAGTTAGCAAACCAGCAGGGGAGCAAATTGATTATACAGTTAACTGTGGAAAAACTGAAATTCTTTATTAAGGGAAAATGAAATACAGTTAATTTATGCTTCAACGGAGACATTCCCCACGTGGCATTTACTCTGCTGGTTCTTTGACTTTGCTGTGAAGCTGTAACTCGGCCAAAAAATGACAGAAGCTTTACTGATTTAAAAATAAGGCAGGTTTTGAGCTTTTTTTTCCCCCTTGCATGATGATTTTTCCAGCTACAATTACTGTAACTCACTCATTATAGAGGATAACATAGCAGGCAAACAGGCACGAAAAAAAAAGTGTGGTAAAACAGTTGGCAGGATGTGAATTAAAAGTCTTTGCCATCTAATTTTAAACAGTATTTATAGAGAGTACCCATAATACAGCATTCACCGTCTCACACAAAATCTCTTAAGTAGTAGAAATGTTACTGAAGTTGTTAGCAAAACTAGTGGACAGTATTAAGTGAAAGAAATGAATAAAACCCTGAACTCCAAATGTAAGAGGTAGACTCAAGGTTAGGTACATCAGTTTGGTGTAATTTTGAATTATAAGACCTAATGCTGAGGTTCCCCTTCAGAATTAAAAATAACATTAATGATTTACACACATAAAGCAGGCTTTTAAAAGATCTACATTATATATATTGCAATATATTTTGCCTTATTAATTCTGAAAACAGCCCCAGGTTCAGAGAAACTACTATGTTTTTAAAAAGCTTTTTTATTTTGAGAGAACTGTAAATTCTCACCTAGTTGTAAGAAGTAATACAGAGAGAGTCCACATACCCAGTGCCCAGTTTGATTCCACAATAACTTCTTAGGGAATTATAGTACAATGTCACAACCAGGAAATTAACATTGATGCAATCCAGCAACCTTATTCAGTTCTTTACACACTCATTTGTGTACGTGTGTGTGTGTCTATGCCTGATTCTATGCAATTTTATCACATGTGTAGATTTATGTGACCACTACCTGTCAAGATACAGAATAATTCCATCACAAAGCTCCCCTCC